GGTCGTGTCTGCGTGAATGGAAGACAGGATGAAAACATCCCGTTTGTCCTTCCATTTCACCGTAAGCAATTCATCATTTCTCAAGCAGGCTTTTTCCCCCTTTCTAAGGCGGGCATTTACAAGCTGTTGGGAGAAGCCCCGGGGATTAGATTGCATGGTGCCACATGCGCCAATTCCAAGATTGTATAAATGTCTAAATAGTGGCACACTTGAATAGAAATTGTCCATATGTAAGTGGAAATATTATGGAAAAAGGGTGACATCAAGTCCCAAACTATCTTGCCACTGCTCCCCATGTAGTCTGGGCATCTGGGGGGCTCCACGTGACTATCTTTTCCCTCGTAAATCCAAAAATTACATGTATAGCCTGTTGCCCTCTCACAGGTCTTATACATTTTTACCCCATATCTTGCATGCTTGCTGGGGAGAAATTGTTTGAATGCAAGGCGGCCAGAAAAATGAATGAGGGACTCGTCAACACAGATGTTTTTCTGGGGAGTATACACATCCGGGGGAGGACTGACCATTTGGAAACTTGGGCACTGCCCGAGGGCCCGGGGTCAGTAGGGGGCCCCATGAGATGCCCTTTGTACCTTTTTCATAGGCTTTTTTGAGTTTGGGCAAGGACACAGGGGCCCCATGATCCCCTATTGCCCGGGGGCCCCATGAGTTGTCAGTCCGCCCCTGTACACATCTGTAAATTTGTGGTTAAGATGATTTACGAGGGCCGAATTTTGTGGAGCCGGTCAAATTCAGGGTAACCCCGAGGATGACCAAGTGTATTGTCGTTGAAATGCGTAAATTGCATTATATTTTGATATCTATGCCTGGCCATGGCAGCAGAGAACACGGGCATATGATGAATCGAGTCTGTGGACCAATACGACCGCAATAAATTTTTAGTAATGCCCATGTTGAGAGTTAGGCCCAAAAAAACTTTAAATTCAGAAACCGTAATAGGTTTCCATGCAAATGGTCTGGCAAGGTTTGAATATGGGTTGGTGGAGATAACTTGTTGTGCATATAAATTGCTTTGATCCACAATCAATGCATACAGATCTTCCATGAAAAACAGCTCCAAAAAATTAAGGGGAGTAGTTTAAATTTGCTGTTTCCACCTGAATTCCAGGTTGGGCAGTGAATGGGGGAAGTACAAGTACTGCAAAATTTGTGGACTGACAATCAGGATTTTCAAGCACATCCGAAAGGACACTATGGGCTCTATGGGCCTGTGTTCGAATTCTTGGTAGCTGTGGGACACTACTTGTGCTAGCCACCCCAGCAGCTTATACTGCATTTATGGGACTCGCCACATCACCAAGTGATACTGCAGTGCTGGTATGTATAAGACAAGAATGTACTAGGCCGCTGGTGCTCGCAAGTTCACCAGAGGGTTGAGCGGCACTAGTACTGGCACTCTGCTGCATATGAGAATCATCATGCAATTGTACCACCTCGGCAACCTGGGAACGGGGTCGGGTATGCCTGACCTTAGCAGGGACCTCTACTCCATCATCTGAGCTGTCAGGGTGCCACTGCTGTCTACAGATTCATATTCTGAGCCTGATTCTGTCAGTGAGGCTTCCCCTTCGCTCTCATCTGACATGTCCGAATCCTGTAGGCCTTTTCACTAGAGTACATTTTTTAGGACATTTTGGCCACTAAATTTATAGGTACCTAGTGAAACTCATAGGAAAAAGAGCACCTTGCTGTCAGGTACTGATTTAACCACTGCAAAAAAATTTACCGGCAAGTGCTAGCAGAGTTCAGTCCTGATTCTGCAAACACTGTGGTTTTGTGTGCAATGTACCAAGTGACAGTGGTCTACGGACATTGCACTTGCTGGCAGAGAAAGGGGGTAAGTGTAGGGGCTAAACGCAGGTGATGGCAGGTGGCGGGGCTGATCCTGCTAACACTGCATTTTTGGGGACACAGTACTATTGTGAACGCTGGTATAGTTCTGATCTGATCAAATATAGTGATCCGTTCAGACACTTACTAGCAATGGAGGTTTATTGTGTATGTGAGCGTGTTCCTGGCAATCAAAGGGTTACATTTTATGACTGATGTAGTGGCGGGCAATCTGACGCTATCTGAGAGGGATGTTAACTGACACTAATGCTTTCTAAAGTCGCTGGTGACACTAATACAGTGATCAGTATCAAAATCTGTACACTGTACTAATGACACTGGTGACAGGGCAGGGAAGGGGTTAACTGGGGGGTGATCAGGGAGTTAAAGGTGACCTATCAGTGATTTTACTGTAAACGTGTGCTGCTTTTGACTCCCTCAGAACTGCTTTCTTTTCTCTGGAATGGAATGTGCCCAGGGAGAGAAGGTTGCATCATTTTCTGTACCTGTGTAAATGTAAACACAGGTACAGGAAGATCTCTGATAGAGCAGGAATCAATCAGCAGATCCAGGCCGAACACCACTGACCATCGGTCAGGCACCAAATCACGATACCGCAGGGTAGGCTGGCACGCGTGCCCCCGCCCACAATCACATGTATATACATGATTTTGTGCAGGGAGCCTGCCCTGTAGCAGTAATCCTGCTATAGGGCAGGCTGAACTGGTTAATTGGAGACCTACATGGCAAATGAGGTTTAATGTTGATAAATGTAAAGTTATGCACTTGAGGGCTAAAAATATTCACTCATCATACATAATAGGGGGGAGTATAACAATGGTAGAGAAGGATCTGGGTGTTCTGGTAGATAATAATAATAATAATAGCATGCAAAGCAACGGTCTGCAGAGAGAGATAGATATCGTTTTGCCCCTGTACAAATCCTTAGTAATACCTCATCTGGAATATGCAGTTCAGTTTTGGACACCAGTTCACAAAAAAGATATTGGGGAACTGTTGAGAGTACAGAGAAGGGCAACCAAACTGATAAGAGGCATGGAGGAGCTTGGCTATGAGGGAAGATTAGAGGAACTGAATTTATTCTCTCTTGAGAAGAGGAGATTAAGGAGGGATATGATCAACATGTATAAAGACATAAGCGGTCTATATAGTGAACTTGGTTTAGAGTTAATCACTTTAAGGTCATCACAGAGGACAAATGGGACTCTTTTTACGGCTGGAAAAAAAAAATGTAATCTCCAACGCTTCTATACAGTGATAGCTGTGAAAATGTGGAATAGACTCCCTCAAGAGTTGGTTCTGGCCAGCTCAGTAGATTATTTTAAGAAAGGCCTGGATTCTTTCCTAAATGCACATAATATAAATGGATACTAATATCTTACCTCTTGGAGGATCAGGAAGGATTTTTTCCTCCTGCTGGAGGAAATTGGATCATACTTTATTGGGATTTTTTGTCTTCCTCTGGATCAACTGTGGGTATTGGATAGTGTATATGGAGCTTTTCTATTTGTGTGTGTTTTTTTTTTTTCCTGTTGGTTGAACTAAATGGACTTGTGTCTTTTTACAACCAGATTACCTATTTAACTGTAAGTAATAACTATGTATTACTTTTTGTTGTCAAGGGTGTGTCATCTGCCCACTCTGCTCTAATTAGCAGGGGATCTGTGAGCGGATCCCATGCTGGTTGGTATGAGTTCACCCTATCTAAAAGGGGCCTAAAAGTCCCATTTAGGTTCATTGTTTTCTATGTATTGCAACTTACAGAAGATGTTGGTACCAACCCAGTGGTTCAAATAACCTTCCTAGATACTAAACATTGTGTATCTTTAATTAATTCCTTAATCCCTTCTCACATGTTACTTTTAGGGTCTTTACAACACTGCTTCCATCTATAAGGATTTCAGGCCATGCCCCAATTTAGTTGACTTAATTGTTACCATGGATAATTCCTTACATCTTTTATTAATAAATGAAAAGCAGCTCGACTGGCCATTTATTCTGGAAACATTTCAGTTCTCAAACTGCTTTTTCAGCTCATCTGTAAATTATAATAAAATTGCTAATTTGCCAATTTATCTCTCATAGAACTTTGGTTCTCAGAGTTGTTTGGGTTCTAAATTCAACCACTCCTTCAGTTTTAGTCTAATGATATAATAATAGATCTGTCTTTCTCTTTTCAGTTAGCAGCTGTTTTTCGGCCTTTTCTAATATCTGGCTTAGTGACAACAGAACACAGGCATGAATCAAAGGGTGTGAGCCCCTAATCTTGGCTTCTGAGAATATCTATGAAGGTTTTCAACTATCCAGGTAAATGGATATATTGAAAATGCATAAAGCTGACTTTTCTTCTGCCTATATTTTGGCTTTCTCTGGTTCCTCAATTCCCTTATCATTGACATGCTCATACAATTTTTTAAATGAAACCTTATTGGTTTTATTTCATACCTTATTGTAGACCCAGTGATGTCATCATTGAGTTTCTGTGCAATGCAAGTCCTGATGAAAGTGCTGGATTTGCACATATCAAAATGCCTTAATATGTTTAAGTTAATAGGTGGATGTCAGTTTCTAGGCAAGCTGCATTTGCAGACCATCCTAGATTAATTCCACATTGCTGAGCATCTATGATTGAAACAACCTAAATCCAAAGAATGAAAGTGAAAAGGCAGAGATAGTACAGCTGGGGAGGACAGAGCTAGATGATGCTTGATATCCTAATGCAAGGAAATGAGGTGTTCTCCATCTGACTTGCTGCAGTTTTTCATAAATACTCCATACTTGCTTTAAGGATGCTGCAGCTCCTCAATATTCCATTGCATGGATAAATGAAAAACAGCTATTTATCTTATCTGACCTAAAAGCACATACCTTTCCCCCTAGTTACACATACTCTTATACTGTAGTTGTAGATGCTATATACTTTAAGGCAAATAGAACAGCAGACAAATTTTACTGAATACATAATTTCTTTTATTCATTTATTATCAGCTGCAAAGCATTGTACTTTTAGGATTTACTCTTTGGAACGTCTTACATCAAAATCTAAAGAATGTGAAAGACAGGTATTTGTACTGCATATGAAAGCACTGCGGAAATTAGGCATTATGTCAGTAGGAAGGGCAATTTGTCTATGCAGCAGTAGCAAAACCAACTTGGTTGTTGCCAAGATCATAGACGGAATAGTATTGCCGGAGGAAGACATCACCCAGGATCCAGAGAGGCTGTCCATTCTGAGAAGGCAGGTAAGTAGGCATGATGCCAATAGTGCAGTAGCCACTGTTTTGCTAAAGGATAAAAAATATATATTTTTCAGAAATATTATACTTTGGTATTGCATTGCAGCATTGTACAGTATGATATTACTAATAGATGATGTACCTGAAGTACATAGGCAGATGGTGGAAGTGGGAAAGAAACTCCACTTATGGTAAAACTGATGGTCGGAAGACTCTGGATGTTGCTACAGCTGACAGCATACTGTTATAAAAAAAACACACAATTATTATAGTTATAGAAACAAGCTACTCTAGCAGTAGATCCTGGCAAGGAATAAAGCAAAGGTAATAGGAACAAGTTGTTGGTGTTCCAATACTCCAAAGCATGACGTGATGTGAACCTCATAAATTCCCAGCTGGTCTTTATTAAACTGGGACAATACAATATGTAATGGTCGTACAGAAATCCAGATGCATTGCATACTATACTTTTGTGCCACAGAATTGTTTGGGTTTAGAACTAAGCAAGTAGAGAACATAACAAGTCAGAATTACTGTATCACCAGTGTCTTAGTATATGAACCCTTGTTAATATGGACCATTCAACAGAAAGGTATAAAATGTATGCTTGCAATTGTTATACTTCTTTTTTATCCTCCAACACAACAAACTGTGATTTTTATAAAACAATTTAAGCATATTAGAAAAGTTAAATGCTAGGGGGCTATAAAAAAAAAGCCTGAAACATACAAAGGCTAGTGCCAAGGTAGGATCTTGGAATAATGTGTCAATGGAAGTCTCTTTTATTGCAATTTTAGTTTATTTTATCTTACCTGTCCATTCTGATCTTGTTGGGCACCAATGTACTGCATGAGGGAGGAGAAGACTGATTGAGGCGCGGTCAACAGAGAAGTACCAGTATCCACAATACCCTGACATCCTTGGCTACACCATCCAGTAGCTTGTCCATTAACTGAGAATCTGAAATTATTTATGTGTGTTTTTATATAATTGTCAACCACACCAACCTTAACCACATTCCTAAAGCAGAACTTTTGTTAATATTACCTAAAGATTTAATACTGCTTATTGCTCAAGAGCAAGATCATTCCATTTTCTCTATTAAATACTTCTTTTCCAGATTACTTTATCCATGAATAATAAAATGATTCCCAAATAATTGGAAATTTGGGGAAAATTGCAGCATATAGGTAGTTTCTGTGCCAATATCTACATATTTCCATAAATTCATAAATTCATTTCCATAAATCTTTTTGTTACCCATATATAACATAAGTGATTCCTAAAACTTTCTTGCAAAGTAAATAATTCATAATTTATCACAATCAATAAGGGAATTCAAAATGCACCTATATTTATGTATGTGTGTGCCCTTATAAAATGGCTTAATAATTTGAAAGTTGGCACTTACTATGGATATGACAGCCTGATTAGATCATCTACAGTATAATGTTAATATACACATTCAAAATACCCTTGGATTCCAATTTGCCAGTATGTTTCAGAAGTCACAGGAGTCCAATAAATTTGTCCAGAATAGTAGTTTTGGTCAACGCCACCAAAAGCAACTTCACCACCATTCTGTGAGCTCTCTTGCCTGTAAAGCACATATGCAAAATTATGCCAAATAAGAAAAATATTGTAGGGAACAGAATAAAGTAAACCAATATTAAATAAAAAAACAAACTTACCCACTAAGATAGAATCCAAAGAGAGGCTGGTTGAGGAGATTCTGTTGAATCATGCCTTGCATCACAGTGGTAGCTCCGCCCACAGCAATAGATGGGTAAGCCAGACCCAAAATACCATCAAACTGAGCATAGACAAAGTTGGTTCCAGGCTCAGTCACACTCAAGCCAAATTCTTGCTGAGAAATAGCTATATTCTGGATCTGTATACATTCAGAAAGGGCTTTTAAAATTAGCATCACTTGTAGTAAACGTTCGCTGTTAGTTCATAATAATTCTACTCTTGAAAAATATATATATATATGTGGGTTATCTTGTCAAGAAAAAAAATTTACATAAATGTCTTATTATATAATGAACTATAATGAACTAAACCAGGTAGCCTAAATGTCTATACTATCTAAATGATTTTTTTTTTATATACACATACCTGCACAGTGTCATATCCAAGGTATCCAGTCAGGCTACCAGTACCGTATTGCAGAGAGAACTGCTGCTGGTTTGAAGAATAGGTGGAAGACTGGCTGGGGTTAAACAGAGGATGATTGGCTAGAGGGGAAAAAATATATATGTATTAAACATGGTAATCATTTAAAATAAAAATACTAGAATTTACAGGTCAGTAATTTCTATAACCCATTCTATTCACCAGGCAAATAGCTACATACACAGTCCAAATACATACATTCACCAGCCACTTTATTAGGTACACCTGTTCAACTGCTTGCAAATACAAATTGCTAATCAGCTAATCACATGGCAGCAACTCAATGCATTTAGGCATGTGGACATGGTGAAGACGACTTGCTGAAGTTCAAACCAAGCATCAGAATGGGAAAGAAAGGGGATTTAAGGGACTTTGAATGTGGCATGGTTGTTGGTGCCAGACGGGCTGGTCTGAGTATTTCAAAAACTGTTGATCTGCTGGGATTTTCATGTACAACCATCTCTAGGGTTTACAGAGAATGGTCTGAAAAAGGGAAACTACCCAGCTAGCGGCAATTGTGTGGATGAAAATGCCTTGTTGATGTCAGAGGTCAGAGGAGAATGGGCAGACTGGGTCAACATGATAGAAAGGCAACAGGAACTCATGTCAATATGGACCAAAATCTCTAAAGAATGTTTCCAAAACCTTGTTGAATCTATGCCACAAAGAATTAAGGCAGTTCTAAAGGCAAAAGTGGGTCCAACCCAGTACTAGCAAGGATTACCCAATAGTAAGTGTATATTATACACATATTTACTGTTTAACCTGCCAAAGGATTTATAATTTGCAATTAAAGTGTGTAAACCCTAACAATGCTGTCATCTGATAACTCATGCGCCAGCTCCCTGCTCATTAAACAGAGGTAATAATGTTGATTCATTGTTCATTGTTGAATATGGATAAATGTGTGTCTCCTCCCTAGCTGTGCAGTTAGTGTTGGTGGAGGAATCTCTCCCGCTGTCCTAATGTATTCCGACATCATTAGGTTTGCCCTTTGTCAGAATACAATGATTACTGCTGCCAGCTATAGCCGGTGGCAATAATCATACAAAAGAAGTGGACAGGCAGCTTGTACTGAATGGGCTGAATTTTTATCCGTCTATGGCTGGCTTAAGCCAAGTCTATGACACGACTGGCCAAACCAAATAGCAAATTTATAGCAGGAGAATCAGACAAATATTTCTTTCAACTGTATATGTCTTAAAGTGGTGTTCCACTCAGCCTATAAAAAAATAAAAGTCAGCAGCTACAAAAACTGTAGCTGCTGACTTTTAAAAAGCAACAGCCACTTACCTGTCCCTCGGTCCCATGGTGTGTACCCCGCAGCTCGTTTCACTGGACATCCTGTATTCTAGGAGGCCGGCATCTTCAATGTGGGCACCCGGCTGTGATAGCTTGCGGTTTCACAGCTGGGAACCCACTGCACATGCATGAGTAGTGCTGCGCTTCATAAATGATCCTTTAGTCTTCTGGGACCTGTAAAGTGTCCCAAAAAGACTACAGCTGGAGAGAATACCTTCCGCTTCCGGAAGTGGAAGCGGGTACCTGTCGAATTCGGGTACCCCCCGCCCCCCATTAAGGATTGGCACCTTTGGGGAGCGGGGGTGGTACCCAAATTCGACAGGTACCCACTTCCACTTCCGGAACCTTAAAGTCCTTAAAGCGGAACCTCCCCTTTTGGATTGAGCTCTGCTTTAAGTTTAGCCTTACAATATTAATATCAAAGTGCTTTTTATGGGTTTATTTCAGTATAAAAATTGAATGATTGACAGATATATTAATAATATCTAAATTTCAGTCATTGAGGCACATCTGCATCTTCAGCAATTAATGCCATGGGGAAAATCTATAAATAATACAACTATCTTACTTATAGAAAACACAAGGGTATATTTTTGCCGTCACATTACTGCACACATTTTAAACAATATTCCATCTGTATTGTTCACTTTCAATTTTGTAGGATATGTACAGTTTTCCCTTGTTGAACTTTTTGATGGAATGGATTTAATCAGGTATTGTACTGCAGCTCACAGTGAGAGGGTTTTAGCAGTGCTGTCAATATAGGAATCAGGGGCCAGAACCAGGTATAGACAGATGACGGCTAACAAGCTAGAGACTTGTGAATCTACAGTGACCATGCTGATAGCCACACTCCCTAAAACATTTTTTTTATCCCACTGCAGTGCAAGCAGGTACACCCTACTTGGGAATGGCAACTCTTCTGAATTCAGAAGCAGTTCACCGTCGTTGCCACACCATCACAGGAAGCTGCATTAGGTGGACTTCCCTGACCAACTCAACAGGTAGTTATGTGACTTTGCAAGGAGACTAGCAGAAAATGGTCAGTGCTGATACATTTGCAATTAAGTGCTGAAGCACATATTTTCTAATAAGAGTCCAACGTTATACTTTACAGATAACAACAATAATAATAATAATAATTTAAAAATTATAATAATAAAAATCAATACATTAATATATCATTTAGAAAAGGTTGGTGGTAAAGTGTATGTAAACTCTAACAGTACGTTTCTCTTATTTGCTCCCTTTTTGGTCTATTAAATATACAACTGAAAATATTTTTGTATATTTGTTCCATGCATGCAAAAAAATAACTGTTTATTAAGAAAAGAATCTTGTGATCTGACAACTTCCTGTACTGTGTATCTCTGGACTGTTGTCAGTTTACATAGTTCCCTGTTGTCATTATGGACTACAAAACACCTTCCCCTGTTATGTAGTTCTAACACATTCCATGTTCTAGGGTGACAATACTACTCAGCATGGTTGTCACCCTAGAACTTGAGTGGGTTAATGACAGGATTACCAGGTTAAAATAAAGGAAAAAAGTGTGAAAAAAGAAAGCTAATGCAGTCACCACATCCAAGGACAACTAGGCTGTCAAACTATCTTTTTTTGTACTTGGGTTTAGACACACTTTAAATTCATATTTGAAAAAATGAATCTAATCTCTAGCTGCATAACTATGAATTATTAAAGCTCTACTGGTCTAACAAGTAACCTTTTTGATAGGACAACTCAACAGGCTAATCTCTTCTCAATCCCAAATTTTAAGTTCAGAGTGCTAGAAAATACAGAAAATACAGCAGCATCTTTACAGCAATTTAAAGGATCATGGCATCTTTATTCAATTCCATTTCATAATTCAAGATAATTCCCATATTTACAATTGTCTTTCTATCCAAGGTGCCCTTTCTATGACATTTACAGTATCTACCACATATACTGTATATATCAGTAATATTAGCTTTAATAGGGAGCAATGGTCTGTCCAGTTTTTTGCAAATTGTGTCTGAACTCTTTAGTTGAGTACCAAAAGGCAGTATATGGTATAGTCTTAAAACATTTCACTTTAATGTTAGTTGTTATAAATGCAATTTGAACCACAAAAATAATATCTAGTAATGTGTTTTGTGACACATTTACCTAGAAAAAAAGATGTCAGAAACATTATTATGCTAATTAATAAGGTCACAAACAGGGGCGGACTGACCATTTGGAAACTCGGGCACTGCCCGAGGGCCCAGGGTCAGTAGGGGGCCCCATGAGATGCCCCTAGTACCGTTTTCATAGGCTTTTTTGAGTTTGGGCAAGGACACAGGGGCCCAATGATCCCCTATTGCCCGGGGGCCCCATGAGTTGTCAGTCCGCCCCTGGTCACAAAGCATTCACTATGTCATTTACTTACTGCAGGCTTGGCTTTGACAGTAAGTTGAGGCTACCCACAGGTTGGAGGACCCAGTGTCAAACAGAACGAGGAAGTTCTGAGGAGGAGTTCCAATACTGATCTCACCATAGTAAGACATCTACAGAGAAAGAAACCAATTATTCAAACCCATGTGTTTTCTTAGGTAAGTTTACTGATACAACAGTTGCACACCATGCTAGGAATAATGCATATGTATTTTTTATGATTTGTATAGACAATGAAATAAAGTCCATACATGCTTTCTGTGTGCATTAATGTATCATGATTCATAACACTAAAGTATATTCTGTGATATTTAAAATCTTATCAAAAGATGTTTTCATTGCCATGGATGTGAAAGGTATAACCACTCATTAGTATATCAGTCTATATATTCACCATTTGTAAGTAACCAAGGAAAGGACATGCTATGACTATGCAAACAAAAATAAGAAGCTGCCATCAGCCCATGCAGAAAATTAATATGAGGAAGCCTACAATTATTTTATGATTATGTGGTGTCCTTATAAAAACAGAAATACCACTACAACATTTTTGATTTTGCTACAATATGGAAGGATAAGATCCTCAAGCTATAGGCTATTCCCCTGCTTGAGGTATATAACAACATTTTCTGCCTTGATGACACCATACAATGTTTGGGAAAATCGCTGCAAAATGAGGTGAAATCTCTTTTTTGAATGCAGTCACTTAATTGGGGACCCTATTAAGGATTTCTGCATCTCCCCTTGCTCTCTGTTATGGTGGCAACTACCAATGGACAGGAAGTGGGGGTATATCACCCCAAAAGAAAGAATTCAACAAAAAATAAACAAAAGGTATCCAAAAAAATGTTAAAAGGTTTTGGCTGGAGTTCTACCATGGGCCCATTCACACCAATCAAGTGTGTTAACATACACATGTTATCCTGTATTGTATTAAAGAAGCCCAGTTATTTGAATGGACTGCCTAATGCACCATTGGGCTGCAACACACATCCATGGCAAGGTACATTGGAGCGCTTTCAAAGTTAATGGCGCTGCATCGCACCTTACATTCTAAATTACTTTAGTCACTTCATTTTATCTATAGTAGGATAGTAGGAATTCCCTTTGAATGTTAAACAATACACATTTCTAGTGGGCCATGAAGATGTTTTAAAACATTTTAAAAAGCAATACATAGAAAATACAATGTGTCCACAGATACCTACATCCATGTAGTTTGCCAGAGGTTCAAAAGCAGTGGCAAAATTGTTGTAATACTTTGTAGCTGGATCAACCACTGGGGCTTTGATACCATGTTCTCTCATTACTTCCCTCATGGACTTAAACTTCCTCAGGGGGACTCTGCAGAAATAATATCAGAGCTTATAAAAGGCAAAAGCTGATAGCATAATAACCTGAATAAGTGCATACTAAAATATATCAAATATATACAATCACTAGCCATTTTATTAAGTACACCTGTTCAATTGCTTGGAAACACAAATTGTTAATCAGCAACATGGCAGCAATTCAATGCATTTAGGCATTTAGATGTGGTGAAGACAACTTACTGAGGTTCAAACCAAACATCAGAATGGGGAAGAAAGGTGATTTAAGTGACTTTGAAAGGGGCATAGTTGTTGGTGCTAGGCTGGTCTGAGTATTTCAAAAACTGTTGATCTACTGGGATTTTCACACACAACCATCTCTAGGGTTTACAGAGAATGGTACAAAAAGAGAAAATATCCAGTGAGCGGCAGTTGTGTGGATGAGAATGCCTTGTTAATGTCAAAGGTCAGAGGAGAATGGGCAGGCTGGTTGCTGCGACATTCAGATGGTAGGGTCAGAATTTGGTGTAAACAACATGAAAGCATGGATCCATCCTGCATTGTATCAACGGTTCAAGCTGGTGGTGGTGATGTAATGGTGTGGGGGATAATTTCTTGGCAAGGTGTTCCTAATAAAATGGCCGGTGAATGTATATTTCTTTTCTTACAAGCCTGTAATTTGTGGGTGGTAACAGCTTAGATGTTAGTGTATGTATACTGTGCTGATCAATGGCCACTAGTGTCCTACTCAAGAGGAACTTTGGGGATTCAATAATTTGCCTGTAAGCTTGTTGACGTTTAGGGATTCACCAACTATATAATTTCAGAATCGACCATCCTAACCCCAAGAAGAAAAAGGGCCAGAGATCCTAATGCTATGATTAGAATTCTTCTCATGGTAGAAGATAGGAAAATAGATGGAATCTAAGGAAACTTCCCCATAAGACTGCAGATTAGCCACAGAAAGATGAACTGTCCAGTGATTAGGTCCCACAAAGGCCTCCAGGATTACTTTATACTCTAAGGGGAAATCTGCAGGAAAATTTGCCAAGGCTAACAGAATTATGGTCAGAGTTTGTTATTGATGTGATATGATTGTTAAATATTGTTATTTGTTATGATATCACAGTGATCCATAAATAATTTTTAAGACTACACAAACAAAGCTATTTTTTGAATGTACCCCTGAAGACATGTATGCAGACGAACCGCGTCAGATGGAGCCGCACTTGCTGACGTCACGCCACCGTTTCCAAAGGTCGGAACGGTAGCCATCTTGGTACTCCATTTTACCTTCATACTTTCTTTTTTCCATGTGAATTGTCTTTTATTCATTATTTAATAAATACTACACTATATACTACTTTTGGCTCCTGTGGTGAGCTCTTCCTCATAGGAGAGGGTTAACCTGTGTTTTTTGCCCTTGGTTGAGCATCCCTTGCAGAGGCTTCATTGCTGTTACCTGTACCCAGATGATATGTGTTTATATGCTGTTTACCAGTAGATATCTGGTGAGTGTACATCTGACAGAGGTGGTGGATTTCCTATTGGATTACTTCACAATATTGATTGCCGTACTTATATCCTTACGGACAATTTATAGCTCTTACTCCACTGATATTTTATGGACTTTATATATTCTCATTTTTATGCTGCACTTTACTGTTTCACATTTATTGAATGATTTATTGAACATTTTTTATATTTGATTTTAATGTGCTGCACTTGACTGTTCCGCTAGGGGAAAAAAAAAAGTTTTTAAATAATTAGTTTTACTGTATGTAGAAAGTACAAATTATATTATGTAATATGTCCTATTTATCTTGACACTAACATTATGCTTTGGGTTCAAAACATAGTAAAGATACTTAGAAATGAAATATTCAACTGTTTATAAATTTGCACATGCATGTTTAGTTCAAGGATTTCTGAAACATCCTAGAAGCTACTATATCCATTAATATGCAGTAATCATACTTACAAATTTACTTGTTTTACAAATGAAAACACCTGACAACTTAAAAGAGAAGTATGTCCAAAGCTTTTTTGGCTATACTTCTCCTGGGGATCACAGGAGTGTATTTAGTTCAGTTCAGGCTCTGCAGGTATCCCTACAATAATGTCAGGATCCATGCAGATGCCTGACTGGAAGCTGGCTCAGCCTCTCAATGGGCCGCTAAGAGCCTGAGCCAGCTGTTCCTACCCCTGCATAGCACTACAGGGAGTACTGGAGGGGCAGAGCAGAGAGCCAGTGAATAAAAATCACAGGCTCTCTGCTCACTGAAGACTGCAAATTAAGCGATCAGCAGTTTTTAATCACTTAGTTCTCACTGTAGAGCCAGCAGGGGACAGCTGCAGCATTGGATTGAGGCTGCAGCCATCTAGATGAGTATGTATGTTTGTTTTTTTTGTGAACCTATACTTCTTGTTTAAAGTCAAAATATGTATGCTGTCTTAGTGTCTATTAAGGGTAAATCTTAAATGACTTAAACTAACCTAGCAGTTTAAAGCTACAGTGCATCTGTAATTCGGTAATCTAGTTCACTGGCTAATTGAATAGAAATTCCTAGTGTCATATATTCTATCACATGTTGAGCTGTTGAGCTGTAAGTGATGAAATATAAATATACTTACTTAACAATCCCCTCTGAGAGTTGAAGGCAAATGAGAGCAAGAATTAGGAACTTCATTTTGAGTATTGGTTTCCACCTGTGTGTGGAGACATGTGTAGGTTCTCTTCTTATATACCCAGAGACAACTTGCCTATCTTATCTACAGAACGTGTTATCATAATGTCAATGTCATTAGGTACTTTGCTAATTACTGCTTATTCTTAAAATCTAAGATCTTATATAAGCAAATATTACCAAAGTACATTCTGAAATTCTGCATCCTTTGAAATCACATTGGCAATCACTGTTGAATTTTAATTTATTAAAGCATCTTTACAAACCCAGCTACTGTTTGTTTTAAAAGAGACTTTTTTTGTTGAGAAAAATATGGCAGTTGCCATAGCAATACTATTCATTTGATATTGTTGGTTGCCTGTGTGGCATTCAACTCCATAGATTTCAGGAATTTCTAATGTATTGATCCCGAGCATGCATGGCATATCAAGAGATTGACTTCATGGCTGTAGTCTTGTTCTGGGTCAGTCAAATGTAGTAAAACCACTGTCTCAGAATGGCAGCCAGTTTAGCAATGACTGGACCCATAGCTGAGTCAAAACTCTTCTTAGGTATTGTAGAGAGAGGGTGGAAGGGTTAGACATCCATCAGGTTTTATTGCTGTTTATTTTGGCTTTGGGGAGACAGGCACTTCCTTTGTTGCTTTAATTACAGTGAGTGAGGAAAATGCTCAATAATAGGGATACTGACAGCAATACACTGTTATAACTATTATGGAGTTACAAATCTGGAAAAAGTATGCAAATCATTATGTGTTTCAGAGTTATTTTTGATATGCTTATTATAGAGCAATGGCTCAAAAAGTAATCAGATTAATTGGAGCAAGGCAACTAGGATTTTTAGAAAAAGATCAGCAATGGCAGCCCTTGTATTTTTTTTATAAAGAAAAAACTTTTGAGTAGTAACATAGGTTTTTTTCCCTAAGAACATTATCAGATTTTCTTGCACAATATTTGTTGCATCAACACATTTAACTATCAATGTAATTTTTGTCTGTTTTTGGTGATTGATTCTCACCTCCTTTTGACTCTCTGTGATCAGAGAATCAATCAGATCAGAGAATTTTATGACCCTGGTCTGTGTATATGATTGGTCTTGCTTTGACCAATCTCCTCCCAATTCATTTGTTCCTTATCAGTTCCTATTTAGGGCGGAGAAGGATTGCTCATTTGATCATCTATCTATAAATTTAGACCAGCTTATGGGGGAGGTCACAGATGGGGACATTGTCCTGAGTGAGTGCATTTTCTGCTGGAGTGCAAAGAAGCAGTTGAACACAGCACAACTAAAGCAGGATAATTAAAGCAGCAAGAAGATACAACAAAGAACTCTACTGCACTCTGGAAGGACTGCAAGCAAAACACCCTGGGAAACATCTCCTACAAGTCTGATTCCCACTCCATCTATCTTTTAATATACCCCCTCTATTCCTACTTTTCATATTACTATCCTCTGTTCTCAAAATCTCATTTCTTTACCCCTCTGCTCCACCCAAAAGCTTATACATATCACCTTCACTTCTACCATCTCCCTACTACTGCTCTCATCACCTGCTGCTAATACTTTACTCACCTGCTGACCCAAACACCAGAACAGGAAGGCATGTGCACTCATATACATCCCGCTCCCACCTTACTTTCCTCACCCTCCTTCTTCTCCTAACCACTGGGGATATCTCCTGGAACCCTTGTCCTCCAGTGTCTCAGCCCCACACCAGGCACCCTCCTTCCTCCAGGAATAGCCGCAATCCACTCAATTTAATCTCAATCCCCATGCTCCTATAAACCACCCTCCCTTTTTCATGTGCACTCTGGAATGGCCGCTCTGTGTGTAATAAGCTCACCTCTGTCCATGACCTTTTTGTCTCCCACTCCCTTAACCTACTAGAAATTACAGGAACTTAGCTTCAAGCATCAGATTCTGCTTCTTCCGCAGCACTTTCCTATGGAGGCCTCCACTGGACTCACTCACCCAGACCCAGTGGTTGGAAAGGAGGTAGAGTTGGCTTGCTTCTATCCCCACTGAGCACCTTTCAAGTCCTCCCAACTCATCACTCTCTATCCTTGTCTTCTTTCAAGACTCACTGAATTCAACTGTTTTCTCCCATTTCTCTGAGGACTGCAGTGATCTATCAGCCTCCTGGACCAGTGTTGTGCTTTCTTGATGAGTTCGCTGCTTGGCTACCCTACTTTCTCTCCTCTGAAATACCCACTAACATTCTTGGAGATTTTAACATCCCCATTAATGTGAACAACCCAGCTACATCCCAACTCTTCAACCTAACCTCATCTATTGCCTTAACACAAGGGATACAGTCCTCCTCTCACTCTGATGGGAATACATTAGACATTGCTTTCTTTCATCTTTGCACTCCCTACAACCTCACAAACACCCCCTTTCCTCTCTCTGATCACAATCTCATCACCTTCACAGTGTCCTCATCTTCAAACACCTATCTATCCAAGCAGCAAACAATTACCTGCAGAAATCTTCACAACTTTAACCCTTCTCTTTTCCATTCTGCAACTGACCGCCTCTATGACAGAATCTCTCCCCTGGCATGCCCTGACCTAGCCACTGCTGTCTACAACAGTTCGCTTTCATCCACACTAGACTCACTTGCTCCTCTAACTACATGAAGTATCAGGCCTCGACCATTACAACCATGGAAGACTGATGACACCAGAAATCTTAAGAGACATAGTCGTGCACTGGAGCAATTGTGGCGTAAAACCAAATCCCAGCATTCACCCTATATAAATCTGTTTTCTTAAAATACAATTCCTCCCTCCATGCTGCCAAACAAGCCTACTTTGTCACTCTTATTAATACCCTGTCATCTAGTCCTCTTTGTCTCTTCTTTACTTTTAACTCTCTACTTTCTCCACCTCCACCCAGTAACTCACTCACTGCTTACGAGATTGCAAATCATTTCAAAACCAAGATTGTTGCAATTCGTAAGGGCATCTCCACTACACAGACCTCTATCCCACTTAGCATACCTTATACTAAACCTCCCTCAACACTTTCCTCTTTTGACCTTGCTACTACTGAATAGGTCACTAAAGTTTTCTCAGAAGCCCGACTCACCACCTGCCCTCTGGATCCTGTCCCCTCACAACTACTACGGTCACCCTCTTCTTCTGTCCTATGCTCCCTCACTCATATCTTCAATCACTCCCACTCTAATGGTGCCTTCCCCACCCCTCTAATGCATGAACAGATCACTCCCATATTTAAAAAGCCCTCACAAGACCCCACCAACCTGAACAACTTAAGACCCATCTCCCTGCTCCTGTTTACCTCTAAACTCTTAGAATGCTTAGTCTACAATTGCTTGAGCTCCTACCTCAATGACAACAACTTTCTTGACACTCCACTGAAACTACCCTATTAAAACTCACTAATAATTTACTAACTGCTAAAACCAATGGCCACTATTCCATACTCTTACTACTTAACCTCTCTGCGGCTTTTGAGACTGTTGACCATCCCCTCCTCCTCAAAAAACTCCACTCTCTTGGCCTCAAGACTCTGCTCTCTCCTGGTTCTCCTCCTAGCTATCACAGCGCTCCTTCAGCGTTACATATAACTCTGTCTCCTCCTCTCTACTTCCTCTTCCTGTAGGGGTCCCTTAAGGTTCTGTCCTTGGACCCCTTCTCTTCTCCATCTACACCTCCTCCCCTGGTCACTTGATAAACTCCCATGGCTTTAAGTACCATCTCTCTGCTGATGACACACAAATCTATCTTTCTACTCCTCACCTCACCCCTTCAGTCTCCTCTCACAGTACTAACCTACTAAGTGACATATCAGCATGGATGTCACTCCACTTCCTCAAACTAAATCTTTCTAAAACAGAGCTCATACTATTCCCTCCAGCCCGTGCCCCCTCCCCTGACTTCTCCATCAAGATCAATAATACAACCATCAGTCCCTCCCCCCATGCCAAGGTAATAGGTGTAATCCTGGACTCCCATCTGGCCTTTCAACCCCAAATCATCAAATACATTTCATCTTACTGAATGACAACCACAGATCCCAAATAAAGACTTTTGCTAATCCACTGGCTACAATACTTTGAATCACTGACATAACAAGGATGCAGGTTATAACAAGCAGGGAGAAGCCTTATGTACAGTACTTACTTGTTCCAGGTCAGAAGCTCATATTATTAGAAGGATAGCAGTGTGACAGCCAGGCAACAAGCATTTTCAGACTGAGGGGTCTGCAATAGCAGCCTCCATATTTTAATTGCAATTATGCTGGTTTAGTGTTCTTTTCTTTCCTGAAAGTCATTATGACAAAGGATACATTTACAACTTATAAATAGACTCCCTCAAGAGTTGGTTCTGGCCAGCTCAGTGGATTGCTTTAAAAAAGGCCTGGATTTTTCTTAGATACACAGAATATAAGTGGATACTAACATTTCTAGGTAAAATTGATCCAGGGAATATATGATTGTCTCTCGGGGGATCAGGAAATAATTTATTTTCCCTGCAGGCAATTTGGATTATGCTTTGCTGGGTTGTTTTTTGCCTTCCTCTGGATCAACTGTGGGTATAGGATTATAACTCTTTTTTTTTCTTTTAAAGGTTGAACTGGATGGACTTTTGTCTTTTTTCAGCCAGACTAACTGTAACTATGTAACTTTCCACATATAAAATGCTAAATGCATGAAGAATCCAGCTGTATTGTATCCTGCTTATAATGCCTCAATAAAAACAACTTTAAATTCCTTTAAATGAAAGAGGAAAGATAATATTGCACACTTATCAGCTTTTTTGTTTCAATAGACTTCACAGACATTTTGAATGATTTTGCAAGTCTACACAAGCAATGAAACCTCTGTAAATAAAGAAAAATAGTGTTGCACTAACTCATATCATAAATAAAGATCATCAAATAACATATAAGTGTCCAAATTGAGAATAAAAGTAATTAGAAATGCAAAGTCATTTTGTTGTGACAGTTCCAACCCATTAATGTGTTTGAATAAATTGTGCTTGAAATAGGAAAAATGCTCCACAACTCCAACTGACAGTGCTCCACTGCAAGTTGCAACGTAGATGGTGGCGTAATGTGTGGGGCGGAGCTTAGTGACGTCAGTTCCGGTTACGGACTTGCAGACTGGAAGTATATGCTGTGTACCGATCTTATTGTATTGAGTGTGGGGTCACTTTTAAGTGGCATTGCAGCAGCTCATTTAGTTTATTTTATTATATTATAGGGTAGCGCACATTGATTTTTCTTTATTAATGAAACCTCTATGCTGCTGAGATATTCTAATGCAGGCCATAGACGGGGAGAAAAACGGCCGATTTTGCTTTTAAAAAACGAAAAATCGGTCGTTCAAGCGGTCGACGTTACCATCAATGGTAAAAAAAATCAGACGATTTTCATCCCGTCTACAGCTGGCAAAAAGTGTCCCTGCAGAGAGCTCCGCTATTTCTTTGACAGTTCCTTGACATTTACAGCGGTTGCAACATTGTATCTATTTGTTTCCATTTAGGATACAGATGTTTTTATTCGGAAACAAATAGATACAATGTTGCAACCGCTGTAAATGTCAAGGAACTGTCAAAGAAATAGCGGAGCTCTCTGCAGGGACACTTTTTGCTGGACTGGAATTCCTCTTATTTTTCATCCTACTTCTTCTTCTTTTTCTTCTTCTTCATCATCATCCTCTTCTTCTTCTTCTTCTTCTTCATCATCATCATCCTCTTCTACTTCTTCTTCATCATCATCCTCTTCATCATCATCCTCTTCTTCTTCTTCATCATCATCCTCTTCTTCTTCTTCATCATCATCATCCTCATCTTCTTCTTCATCATCATCCTCTTCTTCTTCTTTTTCTTCTTTTTGTCTTCCTCTTGCAGGTCACTGCTCATGTGCAGATTTTTTATCGGTAAAAAAATCGGCCGATTTGCCCATCATTGCCGCGAAAATCGGCCGATCGGCAAAATCGGACGATTTTTTTTCCAACTTTACCGATAAAAAAAATCTGCCAAAATACCGAAAAACGGCCGAACAAAGAGCCCACTAACGATCCGAAAATTGGCCAATTTTATTTTCGGCCGAAAAATCGGCTGATTTTCGACCCATCTATGGCCTGCATAAGCCTAACTCAGGGCTCAGCAACCACTCCCCATCCACCTGTGGTAGAAGGAAAGAAAATTGCAAAATATATGGCCATAATCTGGTATACACAGAATATAACTGGATACTAACATTTATAGGTAAAGTTGATACAGGGAATATCCGATTGCCTCTCGGGGGATCAGGAAGGAATTTTTTTTACCTGCAGGAGCAAATTGGATCATGCTTTGCTAGGTTTTTTGCCTTCTTCTAGATCAACTGTGGGTATAGAATTGTAACTTTTTTTTTTAATGGTTGAACTAGATGGACTTTTGTCTTTTTTCAGCCAGACTAACTATGTAACTATGTAAATCTATTGCCAATATTTAACCACTTACCGACCAGCCACTGACCAGCCACTGTAGAAATACGGCGGCAGGTCGGCACAGCTGGGCAAAAGCACGTTTTAAAACGTGCGTTTGCAAAACAGGTAGGGGGCGCGCGCGAGGCAATCACTGACAGAGAGCAGGGCTGCAGTAGCTCTGCTTTCTGTCAGTTCCCTGACAGCTCCTGAGTTTATCTCTCCCAATCAGCGTGTCCCCGTGCAGTACACCCCCGCGCCCCCTAGTAAAACACTCCCCTCACACAGTTAACCCTTTCAGTGAATAAAAAAGTTAACCCCTTCCTCCCCAGTGCCATTTGTACAGAGTCAGTGGGTTTTTTTTTTTGCACTGATCACTGTATTGGTGTCACTGGGGATGTCAGTGACCCCAAGTCAGTTCCCCCCCCCAGTGTCAGAATGTCTACCGCAGTCCCGCAGTCCTGCCATAAGTCGCTGATCACCGCCATAAGTCACTGATCGCCGCCATAAGTCGCTGATCGCCGCCATTATTAGTATTAGTATAAAAAAAATTAAAAATCCGAGTATCTTTCCCCCAATTTGTAAACGCTATAACTTTCACGTAAACCAACCAACTAATTTACACGTATTGGGTTTTTTGTTAGCAAAGACATGTCGCAGAATGCATTTTGGCAGAAATTTATGACGAAATTTGATTTTTAATTTTTTTTTTTTACTGGACATGCTTTATAGCAAAAAGTCCAAAATATTGTTTTTTTTCCTCAAAATTGTCAGCCTTTTTTTATAGTGCAAAAAATAAAAAACGCACAGGCGATCAAATACCACCGAAAGAAAGCTCTATTTGTGTGAAAAAAGAACATAAATTTCATTTATGTACCGTATTGCATGACCGCGCAATTGTCCGTTAAACTAGCACAGCGCTGTATAGCAAAAGAATGGCGTAAATTGCAGTATCTATACCATAGTTTGTAGATGCTATTACTTTCACACAAAGCAATCAATATACACTTATTGGGATTTTTTTTACCAAAAACATGTAGCATAATACATTTTGGCCTAAATTTATAACTAACTTTGAGTTTACTATATATTTTTTATAGCTGAAATTAAAAAATATTGTTTTTCTTCAAAAATATTGGTCTTTTTTTGTTTATAGCGTGAAAAATAAAAAGTGCACAGGTGATCAAATACCACCAAAAGAAAGCTCTATTTGTGTGAAAAAAAGGACGTAAATTTTGTTTGGGTCCAGCATTGCATGACCGCGCAATTATCAGTTGAATTAGTGCAGCGCCGAGTAGCCTGGTCATTAAGGGGGGTAAATCCTCAGGAGGGCAAGTGGTTAAGAAGGGTCAACATTGTTAGTGGCAACATTAAAGACTGGACTATACTCATGGCAAAATTAAAACAGCTAGCCAGAACACAACGGTACCTTACTGATATCTTCTCCAGCTACTCATTAAAAATAAGGGTCAAAAAACTCTACCATGTGTTAAAGTGTTACTAAACCCACAACAGTAAAATCAGTCTGTACTTGCAGTAAAGCATGCTTGTTATACTCACTGTGGAACCTAAGGGGTTAATCGTCTGCATTGTGTAAAAAGGCTGTTTGATCCTTTTTTCTCTGCCTCTCCTCTTGCTGAAATGACTGCGTGATACAGTCTGAATCCGTAGTTACATGCACATGCTCAGTTTGGTGTGTATTGCTAGGGAGGGTTTTTTTTTTCTTGGGAGAGTGCATGTGATCAGCACAGGGCCAATCAGCACTGTCCAGACAGAGGTCAGGGGTTCTACATCTTCCTAAAGCAGAAAGAAAACTCCTCCTACAAGCATTAACCAGTGCTCTGCTGAAGTCACAAGACTGCTCTACTTGAGAAAAGGTATTTAGCAGTTTATATTTAGTAAAATAATTGCATTTCCATGTTGTGTGTAGTGTGGGAGACCAGATAGAGTGAATGCAGGGTCCTGGGTTTAATATCACTTTAAGTAATTTACTGTGCATTATTTTTATAATTGGTGAAGAAATATTGCATTGGCCAGTTAATAAGAAGAACTCCTTTCATCAATGAATGTTCACTAGAGGTATTTCCCATTTATTTTTCCAAATTATGCAGCAAACATTGTTCTAAAATTACCCAGTATAAACCTTTACAGTGCTGTTTTCTCCCTGCCCAGTATTGCTGCCCTCTGTGTGAGAGCACATGCTCTATTTAAGTCTATGTCTTCATGCAGACACAAGCATTTACAGTAAAAAAAACAAATAACACCAAAAATAAGTTCCATAGAAAAGCTGAAAAAATGCTGAACGCACTTAAACGTATCTAAACTCACATAACCGCTAGACTTGTCTAGCATTCCAGCATTAATGCATTCCAATGGCCAGAATAAATATTCTGGTCATTAGAATGCATTAACACTCAAATGCTAGATGTATTTTTAAGCAGGTTTTTCACACCGGGAGTTCTGGAGTTCAGAGGGCTTTACCAGTCCCCTTGTGTGAATGTCATCTTTATAGGGCTGCTTAACTTTAGGTTGCCTTCAAATGGGCTTCAGACTGCTGCAGAATTTGGAAAATATCACAAGGTGACTTCAATTGGATTTGAAGTGTATGCAAAGCCATTTGTATATGTTTTAACATATATGGTGTATATTTAACTTTAAAGGAGAAGTAGGGCCAAAACTATTTTGGCTGTACTTCTACTGAGGCTCACAGGAATGCACTTAGTTCTGCACTCCTGTGACCTGTTGTCACCCAACAGTAGACGTTAGACTGCTGTCAGCTGAAATCTCTCAGCCAGTCCAGGATCTGGATTGATCCTGACTCTAATTTATTTGAATTTTATTTATTTTTTACAGGTACTTTTATAGCGTGGTCAATTTAAGCAGCACTTTACATATATAGATATTAATATATATATATATTCCAAAGACATGTTGGTAGGTTAAGTGGATCCTGTCTAAATTGGCCCTAGTATGTGTATGTGTGAATGAAAGCTAGGGACCTTAGTTTGTACACCCCTTGAGGGATAGGGACTGATGTGAATGTACAACAGGCCTTGAAATTTCCACTCGCCTGCTCGCCAATGTGGAAATTATGGTGGGGGCGAGTGTGTCCCCCAGGGCCGTCTTGCTGAACAGGCTCGGAGCTCAGGCTGGATCTGTCATTGGCACTGGGAGCCGGCTGACTGCTCAATAGCTGAGCGCAGTGAAAGCAAAGGAAGGAGTGTGTGCTGTGCTCTCTGCCTCCCCCTAGAGTGCAGTACCCGACTCTGTGAGTGAACAATGAAGTACTGCAATTTTTTATAGCGGTGTGTGTGTGTATGCATGTACATGTGTCTGAGTGTATGTACATGTATGTGTGTGTGTACATGTGTGTGTGTGTGTGCACATGTACATACTGTATGTGTGTGTGTTTGTGTCTATGTACGTACATGTGTCTGTACATACATGTGTCTGTATATGTATGTACATGTGTCTGTGTATGTATGTACATGTGTCTGTGCGTGTGTATTTCTGTGTATGTACATGTATCTGTGTGTATGCATGTCTGTACGTGTCTGTTTGTGTATACATGAGTCTGTATGTGTGTGTGTGTGTACATGTGTTTGTATGTGTGTGTGTGTATATGTTTCTCTGTGTGTATGTATGTGTGTGTGTGTATGTACATGTCTGTGTGTGTGTACAGGTGTCTCTGTTTGTGTGTGTTTGTTGGTGGCGAGTAACTGTTAAGGCCTGGCTAGTAGCTCAGGACTTGAAATGTTAAGCCATGATGTACAATATATATATATATATATATGTATGTGTGTGTAAAGCGCTGCTTAAATTGACTGCGCAATATAAGTACCTGAAATAAATAATAATAACAATAATAATAAATAAAATATATTGTACATTCACATCAATCACTCTAATGTCAGGATCCACCCAGATGCCTGGACTGGCAGCTGGTTCAGCTTCTCAGTGTACTGCTGATAGCCTCTCCCGTCCCCTCCACAGTGAGTGGTGGAAGGACAGAGCAGAGAGTGATGACTGACAAGTGATGACTGACAGACACCAACTCTCTGCTCACTGAAGAGCAAGAATTGAGCAATCAGCAGTCTTTGATCGCTCAGTTCTCTGTCTTAGAGGCAGAGAGGGACAGTCTGATACTGCATCCACCTAGGTGAGTATGATTGCTTGTTTTTTATGATTGTTTTTTTTTTTTTCAATTTCTGAACATCTGTTTTATTATTCATGGACCATATGTCACAGTGTTATATTTAATGTAAATACCTTCATTTTCAAGTCAGTCAGGTGATATTTCTCCAGTGAATCTGTGATATGTTGGTGAATCACTTTCGATTTTCTGGTCTTCTCAGCTGCTCCAAGTGACATTCCTGCCTGGTTGTCAATCAACATAAACTTCATCTCAATAACTGAAATGTTTCTAAATAATATTTTGTGCTTTAAATACTGGTTATCAAAATTAGGAGGAGTTTGTTTTTCACATGATTGGATAATTGAAGCAGCAATTTATTGTGTGAAGATTTTCAACTCCTTTAGTAAACTAGCCCAGGGTCAAGGTTCTGTAAAAAACATTTTAACTTTTCTATAAATAGCTTTTACTGTGAAGAAGCCTTTTTGGATTTTTCCCCCCAGACGTAAACAGTACCCCTTGTCCGCTGTTACGACCTGCAGCTGAATAACTCAACACTCAAGGTCACTATATAGACCACTTACTGTATGTATTTATACATGATATCACCCTTAATCTCCTCTTCTCAAGAGAGAATAAATTCAGTTCCTCTAATCTTTCCTCATAGCTGAGCTCCTCCATGCCTCTTATCAGGTTGGTTGCCCTTCTCTGTACTTTCTCCAGGTCTCCGATATCCTTTTTGTGAACTAGTTCCCAAAACTGAACAGCATATTCTAGATGAGGTGTAGAATAATTAGTGAAAGGTAAACACAATGAAGATAATGGTGATTTATGAAAGAAACCTTTTTACTTAGCCTTAGTGAAACCTTTATTCATTTTTAAACTCGGATTTTCTTTGCATTCATTTTGACTGATTGGAAATTCTAAATTCTGTATATAGTTCAACAGAACAGACAGTGCACAGTGCACATGTGTTTATCTACTGCTTCTTTCCAAACACGAACTTTATTATAGAGAAAAAACATAGCAGTTGATTTACTAAAGGCAAATATGCCGTCCACTGCAAGTGCAGTTGCTTTAGATCCAAGGGGAAACTCTGAAATGAGGCGAAGCTCTGCTAATTTCTTTCATCCAATCATGTGCAAGCAAAAATGCTATTTTTTTTATCCTTGCATGTTCCCCCTAGATCTAGAGCAACTGCACTTTCAGCCTATTTGCCTTTAGTAAATCAACCCCTTAGAGTTTATAATAGATGCAGCTACAAGCTTATAAACACTGCTATCTACTGGTTGCAGAATATATCTCTACTAAATACTGATGTACTGTAGTTGTACAAAAATACATGAACACTGTATTCCAACATAAAGGCTTAAAGTTTTTTTTACCTTAATGCATTCTCTGCATTAAGGTAAAAAACCTCTTGTGCGCAGGATATCCCCAACCCCTCTACTTACCTGAGCCCAATCTTGATCCAACTCTGTGTCCGAGAGCAGAGTCTCTATCCTCCTCTCCATTGTCTCCTGCTGCTGTCAATCAAATCCTGTGATGAGGGACTGGTGGGTGATGGTGGCTGCATCTATAGATGCAGGCAGCACAGCCAGGGATCGAGCCGCATGAGTGCCCCCATAGGAAATGGTTCCTATGGGAGCACTCACCAAAGAAGAGGAGCCAAGAGCATCAGTGGGGGATCCCAGGAGAGGAGGTTAGGGGCTGCTCTGTGCAAACCCATTGCACACAGCAAGTCAGTAGGACATGTCTATTTTTTTTTCAAAGGCTTACAATTACTTTAGGTCACTGACAAATATACTGCTTTAGTAAATGAGCTCCGACAAAAGGCTCTGAAATGTCAATTCTACCTATTTTATAAAATTACAGCTTTCATGCTATTTTTTATTCATGTGATTGATCAAAAACATCAAGAAAACATATGTTCAGACAGGCAATAAAAACACGTGCCTTTGTGGTGCTTTGGCATTGGCAGGTTCTGAGAAATAAAGATGGATAAAATAAGGGAGAGGGAAGAAAAGTGTTTGCTAAAATAAACTGAAAATTTTTAAGATAAAAGAGCTATGCAAATATAACACAATGGAAAGGTTATGCCTAAAATTTACATACCAGAAATAGATTAGGACCTGTTATAAAACTGCCAAGTGTCACAGCAGTAGACGTTTGCCCTTGGTTAAAAAATATCTACTGCATTTAGCAACAAGGGGTCATTTGAAACTGGTTTAATAGTGACATTCAGGGCAAACTTGATCATATAATTTGGTGCTACTAATACTCCTAATACTGCTCCATAAATAAATGAAAAAATGGAGAAAGTAATGGTATAACTGGTATCATTAGTAAATAATCTGTTGTTTTTATATATATATATATATATATATATATATATATATATACGTATATATGCACACAGTATCTCGCAGATGTGAGCACACCCCTCACATTTTTTAAAATATTTTTTTCTATCTTTTCATGTGACAACACTGAAGAATGACACTTTGCTGCAATGTAAAGTAGTGAGTGTACAGCTTGTATAACAGTGTAAATTTGCTGTCCCCTCAAAATAACTCAACACACAGCCATTAATGTCTACACTGCTGGCAACACTGCTGGTGAGCAGGTATGTTAAATTTGGTGTTATCACTCTCACTCTCTCATTCTGGTCACTAGAAGTTCAACACGGCACCTCATGGCAAAGAACTGAGGATCTGAAAAAAAGAATTGTTGCTCTACATAAAGATGGCCTAGGCTATAAGAAGATTGCCAAAACCCTGAAACTGAGCTGCAGCACGGTGGCCAAGACCATACAGCAGTTTAACAGGAAAGATTCCACTCAGAATAGGCCTCACCATGGTCGACCAAAGAGGTTGAGTGAACGTGCTCAGCGTCATATCCAGAGGTTGTCTTTGGGAAATAGACATATGAGTGCTGCCAGCATTGCTGCAGAGGTTGAAGGGATGGGGGGTCAGCCTGTCAGTGCTCAGACTATACGCCACACTCTGCATCAAATTGGATTGCATGGCTTTCGTCCCAGATGGAAGCCTCTTCTAAAGATAATGCACAAGAAAGCCCGCAAACAGTTTGCTGAAGACAAGCAGGCTAAGGACATGGATTACTGGAACCATGTCCTGTGGTCTGATGAGACCAAGATACACTTATTTGGTTCAGATAGTGTCAAGTGTGTGTGGCGGCAACCATGTGAGGAGTACAAAGACAAGTGTGTCTTGCCTGCAGTCAAGCATGGTGGTGTCATGGTCTGGGGCTGCATGAGTGCTGCTGGCACTGGGGAGCTATAGTTCATTGAGAGAACCATGAATGCCAACATGTACTGTGACATACTGAAGTAGAACATGATCCCTTCCCTTCGGAGACTGGGCCGCAGAGCAGTATTCCAACATGATAACGACCCCAAACACACCTCCAACGACCACTGCTTTGCTAAAGAAGCTGAGAGTAAAAGTGATGAACTGACCAAGGACGTCTCCAGACCTAAACCCTATTAAACATCTGTGGGGCATCCTCAAATGGAAGGAGGAGGAGCGCAAGGTCTCTAGCATCCACCAGCTTTGTGATGTCGTCATGGAGGAGTGGTGGAGGACTCCAGTGGCAACTGGAACTCCATGCCCAAGAGGGTTAAGGCAGTGCGGGAAAATAATGGTGGCCACACAAAATATTGACACTTTGGGCCCAATTTGGACATTTTCACTTAGGGGTGTACTCACTTTTGTTGCCAGTGGTTTAGACATTAATGGCTGTGTGTTAAGTTATTTTGCGGGGGACAACACATTTACACTTTTATACAAGCTGTACACTCACTATATTGTAGCAAAGTGTCATTTCTTCAGTGTTGGCACATGAAAAGATATAATAAAATATTCACAAAAATGTGAGGGGTGTACTCACTTCTGTGAGATACTGTATGTATATATACAGTGAAGGAAATAAGTATTTGATCCTCTGCTGACTTTGAATGTTTGCCCACTCACAAAGAAATGATCAGTCTAAAAATCGAATGGTAGGTGTATTGTAACACTGAGAGACAGAATAGCAACCAAAAATTCAAAAGAAATGCATGTCTAACAAATTATGCACTGATTTGCATGTTCATGAAGGAAATAAGTATTTGATCCTCTTCACAAAACATGACTTAGTACTTGAGTACTTGATGGCAAATCCTTTGTTGGCAATCACAGAGTTCAGACGTTTCATGTAGTTGGCCACCAGGTTTTCACACATCTCAGGAGGGATTTTGGCCCACTCCTCTTGGCAGATCCTCGCCAAGTCATTAAGGTTTGGTGGCTGATGTTTCGCAACTTGAACTTTCAGCCCCCTCCATAGATTTTCAATCGGATTAAAGTCTGGAGACTGGCTAGGCCACTCCAGGACCTTAATGTGCTTCTTCTTGAGCCACTCCTTTGTTGTCTTGGCTGTGTGTTTTGGGTCATTGTCATGCTGGAACACCCATCCATGACCCTTTTTCAATGCCCTGGCTGAGGGAGAAAGGTTCTCACCCAAGATTTGGCGGTACATTGCCCC